AAAATAAACCTACATTTGTTAAGACAGAGTTCAGACACACAATCTTTAGTAAAGCAAGCAAGATTCAGAATGACACCTAAACTGTGATACAATTTACATATATTTTTAAAGCAACACAACATAATATATATATATTAGAAGGATTACAGACCATGAAATGGGGGCATGAGGCAGGAGGAGAAGAATGGAACTGGCAATAAGAGTAAAGACGTCAAAAAGAGGAATGAAAAAAAAAAAAAGACCTAGAACAATAATGATACTGTTCATCTAACTGAGGAGCACAGTGAATTGAGTCAACACAATTGTGTGCCATCCTGCACAAAGAAAATGAAATAATTTTAGAAACAAACCAAAGGTAATGGTTGAATAGAAAATGTTAAGTGTAGAAGGCAGAAGAGAAATCTATTGTACAGAATAAGTGAAAGGCACCATACATAACGGCAAGTGGACATAAAGAAGCCAATTCCCTGCATTCAAAAGAAGAAACAAAAAACAGTACTGTCACTGTATTGGACTGCTGAGTGGAAAAGAGATAGGTGTGTAATTGTGCTAAATCATTACCCTCTTTAGTTAATTTTCTATTCCCTGCTGTAACAAGTTACCAAAAACTTAGTGAATTAAAACAACGTAAGTTTATTATTTTACAGCTTTGTAAGTTAGAATTTCGAAATGAGTTTCACTGGGCTAAGATCAAGGTGTAGGGAGAGCCATGTTTCTTTCTGGAGGCTCCAGAGGAGAACCTATTTCTTGGCGTTTCCTAGCTTCTAGAGGCTGAGCACATTCCTTGGTTCCTGACTTCCCTTTCTGCTATCTTCAAAGACAGCCAAGTTGCATCTTTCTGACCATTTTTCTGCAGTCACATCTCCCTCTTACTCTCCTCTTCTGCCTCTCTCTTGTTAAGACTCTGATGATTAGATTGAGCCATTCCAGCTCATTCAGAGTAATCTTGGGTTTTTAAGGTCATCTGATTAGCAACCTTAATTTCATCAACAGCCCCAATTCTCCCTTTGCCATATACGATAACATATTTGCAGGTTCCAAGATTAGCATGGAGCAAAGCGTCAGCTAATAAATTTATCCCCCATTGCAGTATATGCAGCTAAAAATACATGATTAAAAGCTTTAGTTTTAATTTACTATTTGTTATTTGCAGACACTTTAACCCTGCTTAAAGTTTATTAAATTCTCCCTATTAAATTCTGTCCATATAGTTTACCATTTGCACCTTCCCTGTTCTGGAGTGCCATCTTCTCCCCTTTTCTGGAACATTCATTTTCCTAACATTTGATAAACTTTGCTTGAGCAGATAAAAAAAAAATGTCGCTAAGAAATTGGAGCAGTGACCAGAAAGAGTCATGATGAAGTCAGGTAATGCTACAAGGTAAAAAAGAAATATGACAACCTGGTGGGCTTCCCTGGTGGTACAGTGGTTAAGATTCCGCCTGCCAATGTAGGGAGACACAGGTTCGAGTCCTGGTCCGGGAAGATCCCACATGCCGTGGAGCAACTGAGCCCGTGCGCCACAACTACTGAGCCTGCGCTCTAGAGCCCACGAGCCACAACTACTGAGCCCGTGTGCCACAACTACTGAAGCCCGCGTGCCTAGAGCCGGTGCTCCACAACAAGAGAAGCCACCGCAGTGAGAAGCCCGTGCACGCCAATGAAGAGTAGCCCCCGCTCGCCGCAACTAGAGAAAGCCTGCGCACAGCAACGAAGATCCAACACAGCCAAATATAAATAAATTAGAAAAAAGAAAAAAGAAATGTGACAACCTGATAAACATTACCTTGACTAAGTGATCAAGGTTAACATAACCAGTGGTAACTGAGGTTGATATAATGTAGTCCCTGATGATGTGATGAGAAGGGAACTTTACCTCTGTGGTATTTTCCCAAAAGCCCACAACCCCAGACCAATCATTAGGAAACATTAAACAAAACCGAACTGAGTGACATTCTCCAAAATGCCTGACCAGTACTCTTTAAAACTGTCGAGGTCGAGAAAAATAAGGAAACAATGAAAAACTGTCATGGACCAGAGGACATGAAGGAGACATCACAACTACATGTAATGTGATATCCTGGTTAGGATCTTGGGACAGAAAAGGGACATTAGTGGAAAAACAGATGAGATTCAAATAAAGTTGAGAATCTAGTTAATATTGTGCTGATGTCAGTTCTTTGATTTGATAAAGGTACTAGGGTAATGTAAGATGCTAATACCAAGGGAAATTGGGTGAGGAGTATATGGAAACTTTCTCCACCCTCTCTTCAACTTTCCTATAATACTAAAATTATTTCAAAACAAAAGATTTATTTTAAAAGCAAAGGAAACCTGACTGCACGACAAATGGATACGGCCAACTATTGTGAGAGAGGATCCAGGGTTCTTAGGACTTAAAGAAAGAAAGGAATTATGGCCAACATCGATCAACGGCACCCACACCCCCAGATTTATTGAGGAGTTATTGTACTAAGTGCTTTACATACATTATTTCCTCACCACTTCAGCTCCAGGTGACAGATAGTACTAGTATTGACATTTCAGAGAAGAAGCAGTGAAAGCTCAGAGATTAGCTACTCTGCCCAAGATCACCCTGCTTGGAGGAAGTGAGATTCAAATCCAGACGTCTGTCCATGAAACTCACCCTCTTAGGCACTAAGCTTGAATATTCCATGACCTCTTCCATTGTTTTCTGTTGTTTTACACAAAAACACATTCCAGTGAATTGAGTAAATACTCAGCTATGCCACCTTACACATGGTCTTTGCAGAACAATTTAGCAGAAAGGCATAATGAGGCTTGTTCTCTATGAGATGAGAAGAAATAAGCAAGGTGCACGTGAAGAGAAGGTCAGCTAGATAAATCAACACTCATCTGGTGAGAAGAGCACCACTAAACTCACTTTGAAACGATAACTTGCCTACTTTCTCAGAATGATCCACCATGACCTGATCTGTTGAAACACCTGTCCAGTGTAATTGTTATACTTAATCTTTACTTGTCTCCATCCACTAGAATGTAATGTCTAGGAGGGTAATGCTTCTTGTCTGTTCTGTTCACTGGCATTTTCCAAATGCCTAGACTAGTGCGTAGGACTTAGATATTCAGTACATATTGCATACTCAATATATTGAATTGAATATATTTATATTCAATAAATATCCCTAGAAAAGAAAAGAAAAGAAGGGAGGGAAGGAGGGAGAGAGGGTGGAAAGAGAGGAAGGCAAAGGAGACAAAGGAAGTGGAAACCATTTTGACTGTCACCATAGAGGGACATAAGTTGGGAGTAAATGTGTGTAGTTACTTAATTTCCCTAACTTCAGGAATAGATTTTAAGGAAAACTGGAAAAGCCCTGTTTCTAACAGGTCGGAATCTCAATTTTAGGATATGAATTAGGTGGGCTCCACTCTCAGGACAGGATACAAATTATCAAACTTCCTTCCAAGTTCAAGACATCATTTTATTCATGATCTTTTCATTTTAATCCAGAGAAACATTGATAGCAAATTCTGACTGCTACTGAAATACAGATGATGAAAACCATGAAAAGCTGGAGTTTCTGCTGACAAACTCTAATGCACTCTTCTCTTCCTGAACTTGTAAAGGACTTCATGGCCCAAATCAACTGGTATTCTTCCAGGAGGAGGAAATATTTTTGAACTCTTTTCTTTCAAGTCGGCTGATGACAAATAAGGCTATTTCGCCAAATTTCTACTTGCTTCTGTGTTTCTCTTTGGTGTATAAAGAGTTGGTTTACCACTGAAGCAAAATCTTTTGAGGGTTTTATCTTTTATATGGTCGTGAAAACACTGTAATCATTTCTGCGTTCCTGATTATAGTTAAGGACCTTTCATAGATTCCATTTATTATAAATGTGGACGTTATCAAAAGAAGCCAATTTTAATAAAAGTCTCCCTCCAAAAAGGATATTAGAGGCTTGCTCCTTCTGCTGTGATAAATACTTTCAGGTGGTATTTGATGGACAGCAAGAATCCTGTGCATCTGGCATTCATAGCAGAGTTTAGAATTAGAATTTTAGATCATGCTGGCAAGCCTGCGTAATTCTTTAATTCTTCAAATGGAACACAATTGGCTCAATCTTCCGCAGCATTCTGATTTTAATTAAAATCTACTGTATGATACAGAACTATTACATCAACTTGCAAATCCCTACTTGATAGAAGTTGGGGAGGGGGTGCACCAAACACTGCTATTTAATTGTTTGTATTATACTTTGTCAAAAGAATCTAACATTACAGAGGAACCAGAGCAGTTTCACACAGAATTTCTGGGAGCTAAGCATTCCACAAGGATGCTGTAGTGCTATAAAGCAGATGCAAGCAGTCTTCTTTTCTGCAGAAAAGCTTTAAAAGTAAACACTGAGATCTGCTTCTTGAGTGACTAGGTTTCCCCCCAAATTTCTTCTCAGCACATGCTGTAAATGGCATTTTCAGGAACAGCAATGCAGGAAGAGCAACACCTAAGTTAAGACCAGAGGGATATTCATTGTTTTAAATCAATGATTGAGTTTCACAATTCAGTATCAAACAAGGCATGGGGTGGTGTGAGCAGCTAATCACACTACTTTGAAGTGTTGCCCATGTGTCAGTAAATGCTTCATTGCATTAAAGAGAAGGATCATGGGTTGCGGCGGGCCGCTTTCGACCAGCAGAATAACGAGCCGCCACACGCAAGATTCTTCTCGTATCACACTTTATTGGAGCACAGCTTGGTTGAAAAAAGATGGAAGGAAGACCCTACGCAGCAGAATATGGCAGGCTTTATACTGGCCAGTAGGTCCACACAACAGCCCTGGATTGGTGTGTGTCAGTACATGTGACACTTCATTGCTACGCCTACAATCCACGGGATGCACGTGTGGCGCCTTACGCGGCACTCCTGGGTAGTGCAAGCAATATGCAACAATGTAATTTTGCCTTCTTCTGGACCAAGAATCCAGCTCCTTCCTGGCGGCGTCCCACATCTCCCCCTTTTCCTTTATGTCCTTAGACCACACGACGATCGCCCGTACAAGTCTTGCCCCCAAGGGGACATGGCTGTTCAAGGGCTATCGTCATGGGCGGCAGAAATCACCCTCCCATAGTGTAATGCTGCTTATAGCGCGGGGTGCAAGGGCTGATTTCAAGCAGAGGCTCCCACTAGGAGTGTAATGGCTCATGGCCATCCTGTGCAGGGGCAGCCACTAGGACTTGTTTAGCAGGGAGATCCAGGCACCGGCAGGCTGGCCGTTTTCAATGGCCACCAAGGCTTGCATCAACATGATCTTCTGCGTATGTGACTTACGTTTCAGACGACACACCAACCACAGGCACAGTGCGATCCCCACTGCACAAAGGATGCCAAAAGCCCCCATGCCTACCCATTCTTTAAAGAAAAGAAAAGTAGAGGATAGCCATGAAGCAAAATTCCCAAAAGAAACAGGGTGTAACTCGGTAGTATTAAGATGAATAATCTGTAGTCGTTGTTCAAACAGCAGTCTCTCTGCTTCTTCGGACCAATTTCCTTTTAAATATTCTCCAATCAATTTACTTTGGTTCAAGCGTCCTATAATTTTATAGGGAGTAACGCAAAGATGATTAAATTTAGCAACACAACCAAGCTGAAGCATATCATACAATTCTTCAAAGGCATCCTCCAGCAAATCCATCCGTTGATTCAAAGACAAAATGTCAGCATGTAAATGTGTATTAAAACGATTCTGATTTTCTAATGTTAGCGACGTCTGCTTTACTATACCATTAATTACAGCAGCTGATTGTACCTGATTCACCATTGCTGCAGCAGCAGTGGCGGCCGCCGTCACAGAAGTAGTTAAGGCAATTATAAGTGCAGCAGTAATCCCAAGATCCCGCCGCTGCCTCACCAAATTAACTAATGGAAACGTAGCGGGATCTGCTTTAACTGGAATGGGAACAAATGTAGGTATACGTAGTACTACAGCAGTCTGCGCGATTGTTCCATTCCAACATTGTGAAATCCAGCAAGAAACGCCCTTATTACATCCTTCTGTATCATTAGACAATAAAAACATAAAAGGGGGTTGTACACATATCACAGCTGCAGGCTTGGAATAATTATACAAAGAATTTAGTATATTACGTAATTTCAATTTATATATTTGACTTTTATTAGCTACCTTTAAATTAGTTAATTTAACCTCCCCGCTTACATTATACAAGGTGCCATTACTAGAATAAATCATGGCCAATGCAGAAAGATCCATGCTAGCGCCAGCATCATTAGTCACAACCCAAGAATAAAACGGCCACCCTTCAGAATACCAGGTAACATTAGAAGCATTACATTCTTTCTTGCCCACAAAAGACTTTATATTAAATGATAATCGAAAACCATGGGCAACTTGCAACGATGCAGAATCCTTACCAGCACAAGATGTAAATACCGGAGGGTACCTAACATTTGGAACACAGGATAAAAAATTTAACATGTTATTTCCCCTGGTCTGATTAACTTTTTTATTCCTTACAGGAATCACTCCATCATGATAAAATAATAAAGTAGTCACATTCATTAACTCTGAGCCATTTGCTCCATCACCTGAGCCAGATTGAGCACCTAAAGATATTTTGGATAGGGCTTCAGACAGCATATTAAACGGCATTTGATTATGTTTCAATGGATTATCCCAGGCAACAAGTCTTTTCCATAACAAGCCTATACAGCTTACATTTAAATCCCAACTAAAACAAAGGGTTCTATTAATTCTAACAGAACTGCCATTATATGATATCCAATCCATATTCTGCGGATCTATACAAGGAGTATACATAGAGCAATCACTAGCATATAAAATTGGGAGTACTCGACTCTTAGCATGGACTGGCATAGGTACCGGCCAGGTTCTACTTATTCCCCAAAAGGTGTCTTCCATAGTCTGCATTGCTCCCCACAGGTAGCATAGTAGAAATAACTGTCGTAGAAAGGCCATCAGTCTTCAACCGTTCTAGTACAACGTACCGGCACCCAAACTGGTTCTTGACCCTGTGGGGAAACACATAAGGACCCCCTAGATCGTGTAAGAACATCATCCGGGCCTCTCCAGGTGTTGGTTAAAACATCTTTCCACATAACTTTCCCATAATCCTGCAACTCCCGCACCATATGGCGATCAGCCGCAGTACTAGCTTCAATACCCTCTTGTAAAAAATTTATTGTATATAGGGCAAGCGAAATTCTTTGTTTTGGAGTACAGCCTTCAGCAACTCCCCCTTTTTGTTTAAGTAAAACAGTTTTAAGATTTCTATGAGCACGCTCAATAATACCTTGTCCCTGAGGATTATAGGGTATACCCGTAATATGAGAAATACCCATACGCTGACAAAATTGCGCAAATGATTTTGCAGTATATGCAGGGCCATTATCTGTTTTTAATTGTAATGGTTTGCCCCATGCAGCCCAGGCCTCTAGACAGTGAGTAATGACATGCTGTATTCGTTCCCCAGCTAACGGAGTGGCATGAAGCACGCCAGAGCAGGTGTCAATAGAAACATGAATATACTGTAACTTTCCAAAAGAGGAAAAATGAGTTACATCCATTTGCCACAAACTATTCGGAAGCAATCCACGAGGATTAACCCCAACAGGAGAAACAGGTGTAAAGGTTACGCAGACAGGGCATTGCTTCACAATCTTACGAGCAGTGGCACGGGAAATAAAAAACTTCTTCCGAAGTACCACAGAAGAAACATGATATAAAGCATGAAATTCTTGGGCCTGCAAAAGGGGATCTAAAATGGGAAAAGCACGAGTTGCCAAATCGACGCGTGCATTAGCGGACGCCATGGGTCCAGGCAATAGACTATGCGCACGTATATGAGTAATATAAAAGGGATTTACGCGCTGCAAAATACAAGCGCGCAACTTTACTAACAAAGGAGCTATAATACTTGAGGGTTTAATAAAAGAAACTAATTCTAAATTCTTAACAGCATTCACCACATATAATGAATCTGAAACCAAATTAAAAGGCTGAGGAAACCTATTAAATACCGTTAATACTACTTCACACTCAACCAATTGAGGGGCATTAAGAGAAAAAGTTAAAATCACGGGGTCAGAACCCTCTACCATATAAGCACCTTTCCCTGACTTAGAACCATCAGTATAAATGGTCAAAGCATCCTTTAAAGGAGCTGAAGCAGTTATCTTGGGAAACAATATGGGATGATTTATTACAAATTTCAATAATTCACTTTTAGGCAAATGATTATCAAAAACATTAGGAAACATACATGTAAGAATAGACCACTCAGTCACAGTAGCTATCAAGACTTTCATTTGCTCTTTAGTATAAGGTATAATCAATTTATCAGGCATCACTGCAAAGCAACTCAAGCACTGTTTAATGTCTAAAATAGCTACTTCAGCAACCATGGAAGGATAATGAGTTAATGTTCGTAATCTAAGAGATTTAGTATGGATCCATAATAAAGGTCCATCCTGCCATAATACAGCAGTAGGAAATCCAAAAGTTGGCAAAATACATAACCAAAGGGGAAGGGATGGATCAAATCTAATCAATTGTGCAGCACTCATTGTTTGTTCCACTTTGGATAAGGCTGTAATAGCTTCTGGCGTTAAACTTCGGGGAGAAAGAAGATTGGAATCTCCTTCTAAAATGCGAAATAAAGGCATCAAATCATGACGGGTTAACTTTAAATAAGGACGTAACCAGTTTATATCACCTAATAATTTTTGAAAATCATTTAAAGTTTGTAAATGTTCAGTCCTAATTATCAATTTCTGTGGCAAAATTGTATGATGAGAAATCCGTGCCCCCAAAAACTGTGTTATGTCACCCCTCTGAATTTTTTTAGGAGCAAGATATAAGCCTTTCTCTTGCAAGCACTGCACTAGCACAGTCAAAGCATGTTCCAAATCTTCCATAATAGGAGCAGCTAGCAATATATCATCCATATAATGAATGATACGTAAAGATGGATACAATTTTCGAAGGGGCTGCAAAGCGGTATCCACATATAATTGACACATAGTAGGGCTATTTGCCATTCCTTGAGGTAACATAATCCACTGATACCGCTTATCCGGGTATTCATGATTCACCGTTGGCAAAGTAAAAGCAAAACGCTCCCTATCATTTTTATGTAACGGGATAGAAAAGAAACAATCTTTAATATCTACCACTATAATCGGCCAATCCCTAGGAAGAGTGGACAAAACCGGTAAACCACGCTGAATAGGTCCCATTAATTGCATCTGCTGATTGATGGCGCGCAAATCATGCAGTAATCGCCATTTACCAGATTTTTTCTTAATTACAAAAATAGGGGTATTCCAAGGGGAAGTAGACTCCTCTAAATGTCCCAAATGTATCTGTTCTGTAACCAATTGTGTGGCTGCCAATAACTTTTCTCGGGATAAAGGCCACTGAGGAACCCAAACAGGGTCAAAAGTCATCCAAGTAATAGGAATCATAGACTCAGTGGCCCTTAAGAAAAACCCAAGCCTGCCCGGTCTCCTTTTTGAATCAATTCCAAAGGGGATTGTATACCTTGTAACCGCCGGCCTAGGCCTCTGTCGGGAACATAACCTTGCTTCAGCATTATTTTCTGGGCTGCTTCAGAATAATTATTGGTCAATGTCAACTTCATTTGAGATTGAACATCTCGGCCCCACAAATTAAAAGGCAATCCATCTACTACAAAAGGCTGAAAACAACCATTATGCTTCTCAAATTTCCAAGTCAACAATTTTAAACTAAGATTAGGTGTTTTAGCATATCCCAAACCTTGCAGAGTTTGTGAAGACTGTTGAAGGGGCCATGCTTTTGGCCAATCTTGTTGGGTAATAATACTACGATCAGCGCCAGTATCTACAAGGCCTACAAATTTACGGCCCTCAATCCATAAAGTCATCATTGGCCGATCATCAAGAGACAAGGAAAGAAAAGCTGAATCAATGCCTGATGACCCAAATCCATGAGAACCCCGTTCAGCGGGCAAAGAGGGATATTTATCATGACAAGAGGGCAAAATTAAAAGTTGTGTAATACGATCACCAGGGGCAATAACTATTATTCCCCTAGGTGATTGACATAACACTTTTATATTACCTGTATAATCAGAATCAATTACCCCTGGGGAAACTATCAAACCTTTTAAGGTACAGGAAGAACGGCACAACACTAATCTTACCGTGCCCTTGGGTAATGGTCCATGCATATCTGAATCTATAGGCTGAATGCCCATATTGGTTGTCAATACCATTCGGGAGGTGGCACGGAGGTCCAGCCCTGCGGAACCTGCCGTGGCTCGCCGCGGGGCTTGGGTGGCTGTAAGTTCATATTCTCATGGGCCCCAAACATTTTTGGGCCCTGAGACCGTGGGCCCATTAACCCGTTTTTTGACTGGGCATCACCAAAGGTTGATTGAAAGCTCTTGGATTGAGTTAGGGGCGGTAAAGGCTGGCCATTAATATCCTTCACAGATTTGTATTTATTAGCCCAATGTTTCCCTTTCTTGCATCTTGGACATGTCCCAGGAGGGCGTGCCGACTGGGACGTCTTAGGTTTAACTCCTAACATTCTACATTGTTTCTTTAAATGTCCTGGTTTTCCACAATGGAAACAATTCCCAGACCGCACAGGATCTTGCATGCCTTTAGCAGCTGCCATTACCGCAGCGGCAAGCCCTGTATTAGACAAAGGGCCTCCAATCTCCCTGCAAGCTTTCATCCACACTTCAATGTCCTTTCCTTTAAAAGGTGTAATAGCTCGGCGGCATTTTTTTGTACATTGTTCATAAACAAGTTGTTTTACTAGAGGCATCGCCTCATCCACATTACCAAAAATTTTTCTCGCCGCTTCCATCATTCGGGCTACAAAATCAGAAAATGGCTCTGTGCCTCCCTGTATTATTTTTGTTAAATTCCCTGACACCTCCCCTTTATTTGGGAGGGCTCGCCAAGCATGCATATTAATCTCATTTATTTGCTGATAAACTTGTACAGGGAACATAGTCTGATTATTTATCCACTGTCCTTGTCCTAATAACATATCTACATTCCAGGCAGGCTGCCCATTGGCAGCATTTTCCCTCGCTTGGCTGTGAGCCAAATCAGAAACAATAGACTTCCAGTCTAAATATTGCCCCATCGTTAAACACGCACGAGCAATATCTTGCCAATCAGTAGGGGTCAAGGCATTTCTTGTAAGCCGTTGCAAAAGCATAATAGTATAATTAGCAGAGATGCCATCTCGTTTGGAAGCTTCTGCAAGATCTCTAATTAATTTATGATCTATCATATCATAATATCGCTGGCGTGTAGCCGGGTCTTCAAATACTGGAAATGCATTGGACAAAGAAGAAGGAACTTGGAACCAAGCCTCGCGGGGAATAAAAGTACATTTCGGGGAAGGAATGGAAGGCGCAGAACGCCTAGGTTGAGCAACACTCCCTAAGGCAGGGGGCAAAGCCCCAAAAGGGCCATAATGCTCCTCCTCATATTTTGTAGCAGCTTCTGCCAAATCCGCAGCGTCGCCGGGATCTAGCTCCTCATCATCTGATAAATACATGGCTTGCAAGCCAGACAATAGCGGATACAATGGTTCTCGCCCAGTCTCTTGGGCGTCTGGTTGTCTATATTTTAACTTTTTCTTAACACACATTTCCTCCTTATTATCTCCTAATTCTACTTTTGTAGGCCTATCATCTGTAGCCTTATGACTGCCTGTTTCGGAAGCACTATCTTGATATGACCGCAAAACTTGCGTCGCTTGTTTCACTATGTCTGTACACTTTCCCTCCTTCAGGCAAGATCGAACTAAATTCCACAAAGGGAAAGTCCCACAGCACAGCTTACCCTCCTCATGAAAACGGTGCAAATCCTTTCCTAATTTCTCCCATGAAGGGATAGTCAAAGTACCCGAAACTCCAAACCATGGCGCTGCTTGATCTATATCATTCAGTAAGCGGCCAATAGTCTTGTGAGATAACATCAACCCCCGATCCCGTAAAAGTGCCTGTATCGGGGCATGAAAATTTGCCGTGGGGTTAACATTAGTATTGTCCATTATGTACTTTTACTGACTTTCACTAAAAGATTTACACCATTACACACACAACAAGATAGTGCAAGGCACAAAAGCTACGTACCGATAAAATTACCGGTTCACTCCGTGTGTCGAGTTCTGAATCGGTCCTCCATGCAGGGCGCAACGAAGTTCCCGGGTTTCGGCACCACTTGCGGCGGGCCGCTTCCGACCAGCAGAATAACGAGCCGCCACACGCAAGATTCTTCTCGTATCACACTTTATTGGAGCACAGCTTGGTTGAAAAAAGATGGAAGGAAGACCCTACGCAGCAGAATATGGCAGGCTTTATACTGGCCAGTAGGTCCACACAACAGCCCTGGATTGGTGTGTGTCAGTACATGTGACACTTCATTGCTACGCCTACAATCCACGGGATGCACGCGTGGCGCCTTACGCGGCACTCCTGGGTAGTGCAAGCAATATGCAACAATGTAATTTTGCCTTCTTCTGGACCAAGAATCCAGCTCCTTCCTGGCGGCGTCCCACAATGGGTAACAACGGGAGCTCTGTCCAGACCCTCCTGCATCCTTGAGAAAAAAAATGGAGACTGAGAATTTGTCCTCAGTGCCTGGACTACAGAAATCTGAAAACTCTTGAAAAGCAAATGTGGTGCTTAGTACTGCTAGATAAATTCCACTATTGGATTTTTAAATGCTCCAAAGCGATTTTTCTTCAGGCTTAGAACGGAAAATGACCTTGTGGGCTTCTAGCTCAGAAAAGGTGCATATTCTGAACTCTCGGACAAGTATAAGTAATTCTTCTCGGCTGAGTCTATAAAACTGTATTAAAGATACTCACATCTCTATTAGGGGAATTTTACCGAGTGATAGGAACATTCCCAAACTGGAGCTTTCATAGGCTCTGTTCTTTTCTGAATTCATGAATGAATTACAGCCTGTATAACCAGCCAGACTGTATAAATCTTCAAGACAGTTGCCTCTGGAATTTGGCCCAGAACTAGGACAACAAATTTCTTTTTTTTTTTTTTTTTTTTTTTGCTACGCGGGCCTCTGACTGCTGTGGCCTCTGCCGTTGCGGAGCACAGGTTCCGGACGCGCAGGCTCAGCGGCCATGGCTCACGGGCCCAGCCGCTCCGCGGCATGTGGGATCCTCCCAGACCGGGGCGCGAACCCGTGTCCCCTGCATCGGCAGGCGGACTCTCAACCACTGTGCCACCAGGGAAGCCCTTCTTTTGGTTTTATCACTGAATTGTACAAAATTCTTGGACTTTGCTTCTAAACCACTGTGGTAAAGCCACTCTGCCCACCCTATATTCTATATACCCCAAAACTCAACCTACCCTGGGGCACAATAGGAAAATAATTGCAATAGATAGTATTACTGTTCCCAATTACCAGCCTACATTCCTAAGCCCTGCCATGTGACTTACAATGCCTCCTTTGTCCCATAAATGACATGCTTGGTCATGTGACCTCTTTTAGCCAACAGAACACAATGAAAGTCACGTACACCACATCCAATTAGAAGGCTTAAAAGTCCTTGCTCTTTTGTCCACTGACACTTTTTCGCTCTGCTCTGTGCACACCACGTCCCAAGTGTGGTAGCTCCTCTAGCCTGGATCCTGACTAGAAAAAGACAATAGAGCAAAGGCACAGCTAAGCTACAGAGACTGCAGCTAAAACGCAGTAAGAACAAGAAATATAAATCTGTGTGGTTCTAAATTACGGATATTTTATTATCAAACCAAAACCTTAGCAAAGACTAATACTGTTTTTAAAACTTTCAGTATCAATTGATAGTTATTGAGTTGTAGTGGATTCTCACATTGTGCTGAATGCATTCACAAATGGAATTTTATTGTCATCGTTTATATAATTTAGAATGCAGAAATTCTGAGCTTGCAAACTCAGTAACATTCAATCCACAGCCCTAGTTTTTTACATTAAAAAATTACATTGTGGTGCAGTGTGGGAAGCTAATGTGGTTAATTCTCCAGCCACCATGTTCCCCTTGTAATTCTCTAAAGGTACCGTAGATTTTCATCCTTTGCAAGTATTGTTCTGACATTCGGAATACAGTCAATAATACTGTAAAAACTCTGTATGGTGACAGATGGTAACTAGACTTATCCTGGTGATCATTTTGTAATGTATAAAAATATCTAGGGGCTTCGCTGGTGGCGCAGTGGTTGAGAGTCCGCCTGCCGATGCAGGGGACACAGGTGCGTGCCCCGATCCGGGAAGATCCCACATGCCGCGGAGAGGCTGGGCCCGTGAGCCATGGCCGCTGAGCCTGCGCGTCCGGAGCCTGTGCTCCGCGGCGGGAGAGGCCACAGCAGTGAGAGGCCCGCGTACGGCAAAAAAAAAAATTTAATCACTATGTTGTACACCTGAAACTAATATGTCAGGTATAATTCAATAATAAAAGAGACGGTCCTTACCTCTAGTGCAACTCCTCATTTCTTGTTTTTGTTTTTGTTTTTTGTTTTTTTTGTGGTACGCGGGCCTCTCACTGTTGAGGCCTCTCCTGTTGCAGAGAACAGGCTCCAGACGCGCAGGCTCAGCGGCCATGGCTCACGGGCCCAGCCGCTCCACGGCATGTGGGATCCTCCCGGACCGGGGCCCGAACCCGTGTCCCCTGCATCGGCAGGCAGACTCTCAACCACTGCGCCACCAGGGAAGCCCTGCAACTCCTCATTTCTACCTGTAAAAGTTATCTATGTCATAGGTTTGGGCTCAAATGCCACATTCTGCTTAAAATCTCTGATCCTTCCAGTGGAGTCAATTTCACCATCTCCTCTGCTTTCATGCTACTTATCTTTTTACTCAAGAAGACACTAGAATGTAAACTCCTTGAGGTCAGGGATGTTTGCTGTTTTGTTCATTCCTCTTTCCCTGAAGCCTAGAATAGCACATGGCCAGGAGCCCGGGTTCAGTACACGCTACAGGCACACGAAGCACTTGCCACACCTGCTATGCATGTCTGACTACCACTCACCACAGAGGAAATTCTGAGCAGGAAAAAAAAAATCTATATCTTGATCAGCTTTTCAGCCCCAGAACACCACCTGTGGTGATTTGAACATAAAAAATGTTTACTACCGAATGTGAATTTAACAAAAAATCTATAATACGATCAGTTTGTTTGTATCTCAATATTTTTTTTAATGGGTAGTTTTCATGACTATCCTACCAGTTCAATTGCCTGAGACCCAGCTGCCCTATAAAATATGTTAGAACAATATTAAAAAATCACAGATCATTCGTGAGATAATCATTGTAGGTAGCTACATCTAGTGAATCCAAGAAAGGAGTTGGTACTAATTTGTTTTAGCTTTATCACAATGGTCATCCCCAGCATTCTTTAAACTCTAGATGTTTGGCTACATCCATAACTATCACAGTATTCCCTCAGCTGCTCTTCAGCATCTCTCTTTTTTTTTTCTTTTTTACAAATTTATTTATTTATTTCTGACTGCGCTGGGTCTTCGTTGCTGTGCGCGGGGCTTTCTCTAGTTGTGGCGAGCAGGGGCTACTCTTCCTGGAGGTGTGTGGGCTTCACATTGTGGTGGCTTCTCTTGTTGCAGAGCACGGGCTCTAGGCGCGTGGGCTTCAGTAGCTGTGGCGCACGGGCTTAGTTGCTCCGTGGCATGTGGGATCATCCCGGACCAGGGCTCGAACCCGTGTCCCCTGCATTGGCAGGTGGCAGCATCTCTCATTTTTGAGTTGGATTTTTCTGCCTTGACTCACAAGGAAAAGTTCTGTAATGTTACACTGGCATGACTGGGTCTGATACCTAAGACAGCTAAGACCTGAACTGAGGACAAGATGATGACAACTTTCTCCTCTATCTGTGACAGCTGAAGATTCAGAGGACCAAATCCCAGTAAATCCTATCACAACCTACACAAGGGGCTATGAACTGCTGGCCCTTTGATCTGGTCACTCTGAATCTGATTCATTTATTCAGCACGTAGTTGCTGCTCATGTACTGCAGGCCAAATCCAGAGGGAAGAAGTGTTTTGTTTCCACCTGGCTAGTGTTTTAGGTTCAAATACTTCATCAGCTGGCACATTCTAAAATTCAAAATGTTTCACATACAAGACAATTTCTGATGTCTCTTCAGAAACAGATGTGGCCACACTGGCTTGTGCTTCTGTATGGCAGCATTGGCTGGAATGGAGAGGTGGCTGTTTTTCCTCTGGAAACACTCGTATTTTCTATACTCTGGAAGCCCTCCTCGTGTCTGATACCAGATACAGGTGTAATCTACATACCCAGGGAAACACATGAGCTCGTAATACCCCTCTTACTATGTTCCTAACACTGTGAAAATGCCCGAATCCACAGTGAGGAGAGGTGTTTGTAGATACAACAGAGCCGCCCTTATCTATAGCACAGTGGTTCTCAGCTGTAGTCTGTGGGGTCCCCATGGTCCTGCCATGGCATCTAGAGGTCAAAACCATTTTCGTAATAAAGATGTTAACTGACTTTTCCCTGTGTTGATGTTTGCACCTAGAGCGCAAAAACGGTGGTAAAACTGCAGGAGTGCTATTTTGATAATAGCACTTGTGTGATTGTATTTCGAGCTGAAATAGCTTCATTTTTCATGAAATCCCCCTTTTTTTAAAAAGAACAGCTGACAAACTAATATTTACCAGAAATCTTCTTGAAAATGAATGACACGAGCTGTCACTTCAAGGAAAACAACTAACAGTATCTGTTACCAACTTGAGCTCTCTAGGAAAAAAAAAAGTGAGAAAATTTGTACCTGCTACTAGGAGCTTGACATCTTTCCCGAAAACAGTAAAGACTCTTCTGATGAGAATGGTCATAACATTAACAAGTGTAATCTTTTGATAGTGTATGAATTAGGCCGAAATTTGGAGGTGAGCCAATATTTCCCAAATGTCTAATACATTGTGTTACAAAATTATCCACGAGTAAAAGATGCTTCCCAGGATACAGCAGTGAGTTTTAACATAACAAGGTAGAAAACATTAACAGATATGTTTTCAGATTCGACACTGCAACCAGCCCTCAAGAAACAAGCAGTTTTCAAGTTTGGGTACAGAATGAAAGAAGAAAGAGCACAATTATCTGAAAAGGCTATTAAAATACTCCAGCACAACTACGTATCTGTCCAAGGCCG